GTACGGCAGCTCTCAATAAGAGCACCAATGTTGGATTTAATTAACCCGGGATGGACCCATATCAATAAATCCGGATAAGAACGTAATATTAAATTAGTAAACGTAACGAAATGGTGTCGCAAAGGTCGTGGAGACCGTAAATTGTATTAAATGCTGTGAACAGGCTATTACAAGGATTGGATAGGACAAATTGTATTAAAATTAGTGAAGGTGTCCTAATAAGATGAGGTGGGGGTTTTTTATATGCAACAAACTCCCAACCGCTCCCCTAATCCGGGGGGAGGTTAGATCACCGTGTTGACCAGGCCCAGGCAGGACCGGGTCGGGTCAACGCCCATCAAGCTCGGGTAGTACCGAGCTCCCTTACCCGAGCTCATTGTGACCCGAGCTCGGGTAAGGCCGAGTTGCTCGACCCGAGCCCACCACCAAGTGGCTCGGGTCGGGGCACCTCGAAGGCGCCTTGGGCTGAGGTGTGAGATGCCTTGGGCCGAGGTGTCTCGGGCTCCACCTTGATTCTCCGGGTTCGCGATGCTACCCCGGGTCGGGTCGTATGTATAATATATCTGTCAATAACAATAACAATAAGAATATTAACGTAAGAATTATAACATAGAATAAAACATAATAATTAATCTATACAATTAATGGCTTCTAATTTTAGTTTCTTATTTTTGAGAAAACATTTTTATTTTTAAGGGGTTTTGGAAAAAGATTAATCTTAATATTTCCCCAAAATGAATATGTGGTGTTTTTGTTTTTAGCAGTTTGGAGCAAATTGTGGAGTTATTAAATAATATTTTTGGTGTTTTGATTAAAAAGAAAAACGTTAAAATGATGGATTTGTTAAAATTTTGGTGAATTCGTCAATAATCGAACAAGGCTATTATCTAATAATTGTTAGGGCAATTAACAAATTAATTGTATGGATATTAAAGTTCGTTTGGAAAGTATGAAAATAATTTCTGGAAAATGAATTATTTTTCATAAAATATTTTTCTTTTCAATGTTCGGCTGCACAGCAGAAAATTGTCTTTGTGTATTTGATTAATTTTTCAGAAAATGTTTTTGTATTTTTGGTTAATTTTTTGGAAAATGAACAAGAAAATGAGTAAAATTGTATACTTCAACATTTTAATTTTTATATATCCAAAAAATTATATTTTTATATCTCCCAAAATTATTACTATACGAATCTAATAATTATTATTGTAATTAAGCTAATAATTACACAAATAATATTATAATTGACTAATAATTATTATGTTATCAAGCTAATCATTACTATAATAATAGTATAATTACAATTTTGTAATAATAAGTGTATAGCTAAGAGGAAATTTATATTATTATTATTATGTAATAAAAAATAAAATTACAATAATAATGATATTAATAATAATAATAATAATAATATAATAATAATAATAATAATAATAATAATAATAATAAATTATAGACAAAATAAAATTAATTTAAAAAAAAAAAAAAAAGACAAACGGGAGCCACAAGGTCAATTCTTTGTAAATGGTGTGGGATCATTTTCATCCCAATCCCACACTGAAAATGTAGGGAAAGATAGCTCTTGAGCTCCTCTTCCAAACATAATTGCTTGCCCATCAATGTGGGCAAGTATTGAGAAGCCAAAAGGCTCTTATATAAAAAGCCTTAATGGCTTCTTATTTTAGTTTTTTTTTTTAAGTTAGTTAATTAATTTATTTATTTATTAGGTGGTTTTGGGAAAAGATTAATCTTAATCTTTCCCCAAAATGTATATGTGTTGTTTTTGTTTTTAGCAGTTTGGAGCAAAATGTTAAAATGACTGAATGACGGATTGTTAAAATTGTGGCGAATTTGTCAATAATCAAATATGGTCATTACCTAATAATTAATATGACAATTAAAAAATTAATTGTACAGACATTAAAGTTGGAAAGTAGGAAAATGATTTCTTGAAAATGATTTATTTTTTCCAAAAATTCTTTTTAATGTTTGGCTGCACAACAGAAAATTGTCTTTGTGTATTTGATTCATTTTTTGTGTATTTGATTTATTTTTTAGAAAATGTCTTTGTGTATTTGGTTCATTTTTCAGAAAATGAGCATGTAAATGAGTAGAATTGTATGCTTAAACATTTTAATTGTTATATATTCAAAAAAATATTTATGTTGTTTTGTTTACAATATAAAAATTTTTATTTTAAATTCCACTCATTTAGTGGAGGAACATTTTTTTTATCAATTTTAAGAAGTCTTAATGGCTTCTGATTTTATTTTTTAATTTTTTTTTATTAGGGAGTTTTGGGAAAGATTAATCTTAATTTTTCCTTAAAATGTATATGCGCTGTTTTAGTTTTTAGAAGTTTTTAGCAAATTGTGGAGTTATCAAATAGTATTTTTGGTGTTTTGATTAAAGACAAAATGTTAAACTGGCGAATTTGTTAAAATTTTGCGAAATTTGTCAATAGTCAAACAATGTCATTTCCCAATAATTATTATGGCAATTAACAAATTAATTGTACATGTATTAAAGTTCGTTTGGAAAGTAGGAAAATGATTTCAAGAAAATGAGTTTGATTCATTTTTCAGAAAATGTCTTTGTGTATTTGGAAAATTGTCTTTGTGTGTATTTGAGTCATTTTTCAGAAAATGTCTTTGTGTATTTGGTTCATTTTTCAGAAAATGAACAGGAAAATGAGTAAAATTTTATACTTAAACATTTTAATTGTTATATATCAAAAAAATACATTTTTATTGTTTGTTTATAATATAACAATTTCTATTTTAAATTCCATGCAACATGAGTTTTGGCTGTATTTAGTGGTGGTGGGCGCCGGTGGGTGATTGGCTGCTCCACTGTTGCAAACGGAAAAGGACTTCCTCAAAAAAAAAATGGAAAGTCATTTTCCAGAAAATTTCTCTCTCAAGCCAAACACTGAACAACCAAAAAAAAAAGATTTCTGGAATCATTTTTTGGGTTTCCAAACGCACCATTAGTATAATTGACTAATAATTATTATGATAACTAAGCTAATAATCTATCTATACTTATTATTAAAAACAAATTCTTTCTTTCATTCTTGCCCAAACACTTCTTCCAAAACAATAGAAAAGAAAAAATGAAAAAGGAAACGAAATTAACTTAATAACAACAACAACAACAACAACAACAACAACAACAACAATAATTATAATAGTAATAATAATAATAATAAATAAATAAATAAATAATCTATATCTATATCTATACGTACTCTAATAAAAACAAAATCATATTTACTTGATTTACCCCCCAAATAATAGTAAATAATAAAGGTAAATTTAAAAAAAAAAAAAGAACGTAAACTAAAAAAGGTATAGAAATATGTCACAATAATATTATACATCATCAATTAAAAATGGAAGAAGAATTATGTAAATTGGAAAATGAAATGAATATTAATAATTGACTGAAAATTAAAAATGGAAAAATGAATGGAAATTAGGTTAATTGGAAAAGTAAATGAATATTAATAATTGACTGGAAAAAAAAATGATCCATAATTGACTAAAATGGAAAAGGAAATGGTCAAATTATTACATTTTAATTTTTCACAATAATATTATACAGTAGAATAAATCAAATCACAATTATATCATAAATCTTTCACAATTTCAAACAATGGAACGAAAATTAAAAATGGAACGAAAATATTTCAATAAAAATGGATTAAAAATGGAATAGTAGAACAGTAATAATATGACATAGTGAAAAGATGTTTGTTTGATGAATTCTCTTCATCGAAGGGCTCCTAAAAGATGAAGGAAAATAGTGTTAAGACTTAAGATTGAGAAGACAGATTAGTGCCTTTGATTCCAGTTTCTATGATGTGGTTCCCAATAACATTTTTTTGTGTCTGTTTTGGATGTTGAACAACTGTGCACTGTGCCACACTTGATATCAACTATTATGAATTAATCTACATTTTCTATATTTGATTTATTTCAAAAACCTTTTTGCCAGAACCAATTTATGATTCATATTCACATGAACCAGTCAGATTCATGAAGAATATTAGGAAGGGAGCAACTTTGTAATATTTTTACTGGAGGATAAAGCAACTATACAATAGTGTTAAGATTGAGAAGACAAATTAATGCTTTTGACTCCAGTTTCGATGATGTGGTTCCCAATGACATTTTTTTTTGTGTGTCTGATTTGGATGTTGAACAACCATGCCCTGTGGCACACTTGATATTAAATATTATGAAGTAATCTACATTTTCTATATTTGGGTTATTTCAAAAACCATTTTGCCGTTGACCAATTCAGGATTCATATTCACATGAACCAGTCAGATTCATGAAGAATATTAGGAAGGGAGCAACTTTGGAATATATTTACAAAGTATTTTGTTTAACTTGACTATTTTTTTGCAAAACTTTCCTTTCCCTTTGCAGGTAAAATGAAAATTCATTAGAACTACATATAGTAGACATATTGGAGGATAAAGCAACTATACACCTAGAGACCTTCTAGCATAATCACAAAATTAGATGCAAAGAACAAGTGTAGTCATCAAAACCACATGTAGCAGACATACTGGAGGATAAAACAACTAGACACCTAGAGACCTTCTGTCCGAATCACAAAATCAGATGCAAAGAACAAGTGTTGGATGCAATACCTAATGTAAACTAGACAGTTATCACTAGTACAAAATTGAACATAGAAGATTGACCATAGACCACCATTGTTGAAAGAATGGTTGCCTAATCTTGGCCCAAAAATTCACGGTGACAATTTTGTAAATAAATGATCAATAATCCGCCACCATTGTAGCTGTAATGGTTGCCCATTGTATTTTTTATATATTTAAAAAAAATTAATTTTTAATAGGCAACCATTTCTTAGAAATGGTAGCCTTAAAATAAAAATTGTTTTATAATAGTCAACCATTTTTAATAGAAATAGTTGCCTAATATTAAACCTAGATCTACTAGATCAGAAGAAAGTGGCTCGCGTCTCAGATAAGAACAAAATCGCTCGCGTCTCAGATCAGCACGATCCACCGTCGCACCAATCGTCTTACCACCGCCACCACGCCGTTGGCCTGCGGCGACGCCACTCCGCACAGCACCATCTACCGTCGCACACCCCCACTGTCGCACACTCGCCACCGCGATGCCGACGCCACAGCCGCCACCCCCGCTAACGTCCGTAGATCTGAAGCTCCTCCTTGCCCCGGGACGACGACCCCGGCTCCTCTGCGACGCCAGTCTCCCGCCTCCTTCTTCAGCCGGAGATTGGGGCTGCCGGCGCGGCTTCCTCGTCCGATCTGCAGGTTAGTGTTTTTTTTTTTGGTTGGTATTGATTTTAAATTGTGCCCATGTGGGGTGAAGCCTGAGTGTTTCTTTCACAATGGCCTGAAGTTAGGGGAGATTCGAAATGTCTGATTCTTCTACTAGTTTGTTGCTTCCAATGATAGAGTCTAGTTCTTGTGATGCTTTCTCCATGGTTTCTGGATGGCTTATTAGCTCTGCAAGTGCCCACTCTACTATAATGGCTGATGTATCAGTTCCTACTGCAAAGATGTCCTGCGAGTCAAATGTCCAAAACAATGTTTGTTTATAAGTTTTTTATGCCATCTATGAACTGAGAAAGACATCATATCTGTCTGTTATAATCTAAGACTGGTTAATTTCATCTCTGAGCTTTCATCTTCTGCTATATCTAGTAAGATGTCAAGCAGATCCCTGACTACTGCTTCATCTCCAGCATTGTTTTGTTGCTTTCTCCTTTTATCATCTATATGATCATGTATGATCATGTCTAATTGTTCAATTTCCCATTCCAATCCTAAATCCCTAATTCCTTTTGTTTTTCTCATTATTCAGATGCGATGAGAATTGGAATGGTAGGTGCTAGCTGATTCCAGAGCAAAACGGCAAGAAAATTCTTTCAAAAAGGTAATTTCAATGCTTTTTTAAAACTTTATTTTAGCTGATTATGTTAAAAGCTGAGTGAGTCTGTTTAGCTTACCATTGCTCTGCTGGTATGGTATATAAATGTGAATTTGGCTCAATACATACCTTGTTGATTACAAATTAGGTTGTTGGATGAATTCCTCAATTAAATATAATTGTCTTAGTAATTACAAATTTATAAGAAGATTAATTACTAGAGAAACTGCAGCCAGCAATTTAGAGTTTGTCAATGCAAGAGAGATACTTCATTTTTAAAATTTACCACAAAATCTTAAGCCTTTAAAATTTAATGTAAATGAAGTAATTCATAATAAGCAATGGCAAGCCCAAAATGAAAAAGCATAAGTAATTATTCAATGAATTAGATTGAATTTGTTGATGAGTTAGGTATAAAATTTGATGAGTTAGTTATACTTTAATTATACATTAGGTATTTTGTTTATGAATTAGGTTTTGTAAAACTTTAAACTGTGACTGTTGACATCAATAAGACTTATAATGACATATCTCTTTTACTATATAGCCTACTGTTGACATCAATAAGACTTATAATGCCATATCTCTTTTACTATATAGCCTACTGTTGACATCAATAAGACTTATAATGCCATATCTCTTTTACTATATAGCCTACTGTTGACATCAAGACCGCTTTATCACGCTTGATTGATAGATTGTCAAACTATGCTGCTTCAAGTCCAGAAGTGAGTGTTCTCCGATCTTAAACCACAACATTAAGGTTGTGGTTCTTTTTTGTTGTTGTGGCATGGTGTTATCAACATGTGTTATTGCACTTTTTGAAGTTAACCATGAAATATTCTGTTCCTAGAGCCATTTTTCTACTCTTTGTGAATCAATTTGGTCCCAGTCCCCACTCCCCAGCAGCCCAGCTTGATACCAATGCCTGCTCTCATTCATCTTCTTCCTTTTGTTTTTTCTTGGTGTGATCTCGTTTTGCTTTGTCTAATATTTTGTTGGAAGACAAATTTTTATCTTTGCAGGACTCATCAAGGGGTGATCCTAGTGATTACAGTAGTCAAAAGAACAGACGAGCTCTCTGATTCAATGTTATGGGTAGCATGGACGATTCTGTACTCTCACTGCGGGAGAGATTAAATGGCCCACTCCTTAACACTATGGTTTGTCAAGAGGTAATTTTTACTGTGAAGTTGTTCTTCTTGGAGGATCAGTTTGGGAGCTCTCCTTTCTTGTGCAAGACATATTTCTGATACAATTATTTATTGTAATTTCATTCTTTTCTTTTGTAGATTTCAATTATTTTTAATTTAGAATTGTAAATATGTAATTTCATTTATTGTTTTTACAAATACTGTAGTAATTTCATAATGGTTGTGTGAGAATTGCAGGGATTTAGAATTGTAAATATGTAATTTCATTTATTGTTTTTTTACAAATACTATTGTAATTTCATATTGTTTAAAAATATTTTTTAATTTTTTTTATTTTTAAAAAGACAATACGCGACAATTCCTATCCAAGAATGGTTGCGTATTACTTTTGAATAAAAAAATAAAAAAGCAATACGCGACCATTCTTTGTCAAGAATGGTTGCGTATTACTAACAATGCGCGACCATTTCACAATGGTCGCGTAAAGTCGATGCCTTTCCGCGAACCTCTCATAGGCAACCATTGTACAATGGTCGCCTATTGTCTTTTACAATGGTAGCGTATCTGCAATTTTGTACTAGTGTATAGACCTTCTTACAAAGTTATGTACAACAGTGATTACTTGAAACTATTACAATAGGTAATCAAATGATGAAATAATTGTTTACAATACTTGAGTCATGCAAAAAAGTTTTAACATATATTGTGGCTTCAATGTAATAGTCAATTGACACTGTAACTAAATGTTGAGTTTGTCTCATATAAGGATTAGGAATATGAGTTTGTCTCATACTAGGAATAGGAGTGAAACGGGTAGACCCATTGTATAGGGATTGGATGCCTATAAATATATTGGTTGTATCCCTAAGGGGTGTGTCACCACTATCACCATCACTATGAATAAGAGTATTGTTTCACTCCCGTGGATGTAGGCACATTGCCGAACCACGTAAATCTTGAATTCTTTTACTTTCAGCCATTATTATTTTTCTTGTTCTTCTTAATCTCAATAAATTGGCATCAGAGCACTGTTGAGATGGTCAGTTCAAGTACAAAATTCGAGGTAAATGTTTGATGGTATAGGGAATTTTGGGTTATGGCGGTCTAGGGTAGGGAATTTTGAGTTACGGCTGGTATGGACGGACGCTTCAGGATGAAGCAATTCGTGAACATGCACTTGGAAGTTTGATGTTGCGTGGTGCGTGTTGCTAACCAGTGGCAACTACTGGTTAGTGAAGCATTGGGAAAGGCACACGAGTTTAGTGTGACTTTGCAGGGGCACTGTTGTGTTGGGGCATTATGGATACCAGGAGGGGATATGGACCTGGTATGGGCCAGTATGGCACTGGTATGGGTCGGGCTTGGCATGAGTCACGGCTGGTATGTGTTGGGCTTGTCATGAGACATGGACCTGATATGGGTCGGGCTTGGCATGACTGTAACACCCCGAAATTTTTAAACTTTTAAAGCATATATAATAAAGGTGAGTTTTCATTAAATCCCAAAATCAAACATAAGTGTGCGGGGTGCTATGCCACATCTGAGCTGGAGAGCTCAGATGCACAGGCTGACTAACTAAAATCCTCAATACAAATGTCAATACATAATCATGGCACGCAGGCCGAAAGGAAGATAACTAATCTATGCTTCGGATCTCTAGCGCGCTCCGGGTCTACTCATCGGTGCCTGATAGCCAAATATATCTGTTCATCAAATGATGATGGTAACTCACTCTAACGCGTTGAAATACAATATAGATAGATATATATAGATATATGAAAACCATTTTGAAGCAGGAAGATATATACTTAAAAGACTCTAGTTTTAAAACCAGGAATAGACTCAGCAATTAGGGGCAAGCATAATAATCAATGATAACAGTTAAGTGGAGACAACCATCATAAAGAATATGCATCTAAGTCACAGATCACTTTCAAATCAATCATATCATCATCCCATCATCATTCGTATCACACAATCACACTTTGGTGGCGCCACGGAACCAATCACATGCCCCGAACATGAGGGTTAGTGCATATAGCACTAACACGGCCCCGCAGCACCCTACTTCATACCGCAGCATGAAGGGAGTTAATCGCAACCAACCCTATAGACCGCTGACGAACTCAGTGGCGGATCACAGTCCTACACACCGCTGACGCGCTCAATCGATGGACTGTGATCCAATTTACAAGGGGGGACTTATGATCCTACACACCGTTGACGGGCATAGTCGGTGGATTGTAGCGGATCAAGCCTTACACACCGCTGGGGGACTCAGTCGGTGGGCGATGATCCTCGGATACTACGACCCTACACACCACTGGCCCATCACTCGGTGGATCGCAGCCATTCGTAACCCTACACACCGCCTGATTACTCAAGTCGGTGGACTACAGCATTCCTCGGGCTTATTGGCCCTACACACCGCCTGGCGCGTCCAGGTCGGTGGGTCATAGCAAACGAGGCCCATGTGGACCGCAACCCAAGAAGTGAATCACTGACCGCAGCCAGGAGAATGAACCGCAACCCTATATAATATTTATATACCAGACCAATCGCAACCGGCCTGGTTAACAGTTGGGCTGGTTCTCAACCCATCCAGCTGCCCGTATAGCCAATTTGATCGCAACCAAATTGGGGAATCATGCATCACATAACACATAATAGCACATAATAGCACATTGGGAAGGGGGGAAACATAAATAAGCTTACGTGTGATCATTCACATACTAAGAATAATCCTAAGGGGATCATACGACTTCCACCTAGGCCAACGGGTTACCGATTTAACTAGCATGCAATTCCTAGACTCTTTTTTCATACGAACGGCACCCGAAACATCAAACTAGACTCAAGCACGACAAACGGGGTCCGTTGGGACACAACGGGGAATGGGGAACATCAAACGGGGAAGCCAAAGACTCGCGGTGGGTGATAAACCAGCGGGTAGCCGGTGGATGGAGGGCTACCCGCCGGCGACAACTTCCGGGCAGCGGGTGCCCGGCGGGAAAACAACTGCCCACCGGCTGCCCGCTGCCTGGCGGTCTCACTTTGGGCAGCGGGTAGGTGGCGGGTACCCCTACCCCCACCTAGCCCCCACTGACTCTTTTATCAAATACGCGTCCCGGGACCCTTCGTGGAATGCGAAACCATGCTTAGACACTTTTAAACGCAATTAACGACACCACATAGGCATTTAATGGATCGAAAGCAAGAATCATATTGAACACACCCTAACACGACTTCTAGACACGAACAACACCTGAACATGCAAATTCCCACCCAAATATAAATCAAGAACATCACAATATCAATTCTCAATCCAACCTAGGGCTCTAATCCCACCCAAATCATCAAAATCATATTTTATTTTCATTATCGAGAACCATCAAGATTTATCAAGAAATCATCACATAAATATCAAGAACCTCTTTTTAACATCAAGATCATCAAGATCCCTCATAAAATCATCACATCAATCAATCAAGATTATATCACCAATATATAAAGAAATTCATCAAGACACAAGTATATAGAGGGAGCCAAAGAAGGAGATTATAGCAAGGAAAATAGGTTTTGTTGAGACATGGGTTACCTCTTAGCCTTAATTAATTTCCTTGGCTATGAAGGGTCTTTCTTTTAGATTTCTTCTTTCTTAATTTCTCCTACGGGAATCCTTGTGTGGTGAAAGTTATTGTGGTGTGAGTTCTAGGTGCCTCCTATGTCTCTATTTATATATTTAGGAGTCCCAATTAGGGTCTAAGTGGTATGGATTTGCTTATTCTATTTCCTATAGGACTAAGCGATTGGCTTTAGGGATAAGGGCCCATTGACTATGGTGGACCCTCTTTTAGCCAATTAATTGATTTTAACTCCCTTTTTGGGCTGAGTAGTTAATTATTTAATTTGGGTTTAGGGGTCGTAACATGGGGTGTTACATGGGTGTTCGACCCTAAAGCCGTGTAGGTGGAACGCCAAACCTCCGCGGCGGTGCTCCGGCCAACTGTGAGGTGGAGGACTTCGTCGGTCATTGAGGAGATGAGAAGGGAGAGGATCGACTGATCCTGTTGAACCCACACCTTGTGTGCCAGATTGGGGATCGGATCAGTCGTGGGAGCTTGACTCGCCGACGGGTGTCGCAGCGATGGTTGGAGGCGGACACGACGTGGAACCGTCCATGAACCCAACAAGATCTTGCCCACGCAAGAATGAGAGAAGCTGGGTACGCAAAAAAAGGAAGTTCCTACTTGTTAATTTCATGGAGATGTAGTGGTGTGCTTCGGTGAGAGGATTGGTGCCAAACGGGGAGGAGCCACCGGCGGCTGAGACAGTACTCTCGGATGAATGGGAAGACATGGTGGTTTTGCGATGGTGTTTGGGTGGTTTTGCGATAGAGGAAGCGATCAGTACGATCGGTAAGGCTGATACCAGATTAGAAAGATAATCTCATTCAGTTAGAACAAGAAACGATTACAGGAGAGTATATCATAATACACCACTAAACACTCCTGACTAATAGACTAACTATCTAAGACTAATTCTATGACCACACAATTATAAGTTGTATTACATATAATAATATAACAATAATAATAGTAACACTAACAATTAATACCAACAGGAATAGGGTTTGCAATCCATCATCTACATACTTTCATGGTGGGTTCTCTTGCCATATTATTGGGAAATATCGGACACTCACTTGTGTTATGTAATGGTACTAGGTTGGTCATTGCAAAGTTATCCGAACATATTGTAGAAGCAAAAATAGTGTTTGGTAACAATTTCTGGACTAAGGTGTTTGATACCACGAATGTCAATGACACCGAAAGATCTAAGATTGCCTTTCAAATTCCAGAGAAGGCAATTTCCTCTTATGTTGTTCTATGCAATGACCATTAATAAAATCCAAGGCGAGACACTATCTCATGTTGGATCACTCCTCAAAAAACCAGTGTTTGTACATGGTCAACTATACGTTGCTGCTTCAAGAGTTAGCAACCCAAGTGGCTTGAGAATTTTGATTCGCAATGAAGGTAAAACGAGTTTTACCTCAACTACAAATGTTGTTTACCATGAAGTGTTCAATAATTTGTAATTTAAATTAAATTTCAATTGATGTTAGACATGCTTTACCTTTCAAATTAACTTCTCCTTTTAGTAATACATATGCAAAGAATATCTTTAATGTTAGAATTATTTAAATAACTTTTGCAAATAATGACGGT